AAGCCAAGGGTTGAGATCCCCTTACCGGTCATCTTTAAAAAAAAAAAATAAAAAAATAAATAAATAAATAAATAAATAAATAAATAAATGGCCTCTATAAAATTCCTAAATATTGGGCCGGCCCGTGGCTCACTCGGGAGAGTGCGGTGCTGATAACACCAAGGCCCCGGGTTCGGATCCCATATAGGGATGACCGGTTCGCTCACTGGCTGAGCATGGTGCTGACAACACCAAGCCAAGGGTTGAGATCCCCTTACCGGTCATCTTTAAAAAAAAAAAAAAAAATCCTAAATATTAATCTAGTTCCCACCCCCCACCCCCACCCCCATCAAGCAGATACTTAGCTGACTGACTGATCTGGAATATTTCAGAGCAGTGGTTCTGAAAAGGCCTAATATTTTAATGTATGTATTCATCCCATAAAGTATATTTAAATGCAACACAGTAATTGTAATAAAATTAGACACATTTTTCAAAAAGCCTATGTAGAAAGTAGATGGGATGGGGTACAGAGAAGGATGGGGAAAACAGTAATTTCTTATTTATACTTATATAAAATTTGAGTATCAGCCTGGATACAAAACACCAGAATGAGTAATTTTTGTTTATTATATATATATTTATGTATAAAGTGCAAAATATATACAACAATGAAATATCATTTTACCTAGTAAACTGACAAAGGTTAAAAAGTATAGCACCGTACTGAGCATCTGCCAAAAACAAACAACAAAAAAGTAGAGCACTGGGCCGGCCTGTGGCTCACTCAGTAGAGTGCGGTGCTGATAACACCAAGGCCACGGGTTCGGATCCCATATAGGGATGGCCGGTTTGCTCACTGGCTGAGCGTGGTGCTGACAACACCAAGTCGAGGGTTAAGATCCCCTTACCGGTCATCTTTTTAAAAAAAAAAAAAAAGTAGAGCACAATGTATAGTGAGTGTCTGGGGAAACAGGTACTCTCATATTGGGTTGGTGGGAGCATAAATTGGCACAACCTCTTTGGAGAGCAGTGTGTGACAACTTCTGTCAAAATTACACACGAATACACCCTTTCTTTCGGCAATCCTACTTTGAAGAATTGCTCCTAAAGAAATATTCTTACGTGTGCTAAATAACCAGATAGAAGGCTATATTCATTGGAACATTCATGAAATGGGATATCAAGCAGCCACTTAAGAGAAAGAGGCAGCTCTAATTTGTACTATATGGAACCACTCCTAAAAGACATTATTCAGAAAAAAGAGCAAGGGACAGAACAAGGTGCACAGAATGTTGACACCTGTATAAAAATATGATGTGTGTATTTTGTGTACTTGTAGATTTATATGCAAAGATTGTCTCTGCAAGAATAAATAAGCAATTTGGTAACAGTGGCTATCTCTTAGGAGAGACTTGGGTGACTCTGGGAAGAAGAAGGAAGATTCATTTTTCACTCTATACCCTGTTTGGTGTGGTTTTGTTATAGGGTTTCCCCTTTCAACACACACAAATAAGCCACAACTCCTGTGAATACCCAAAAGTTGCCACTAACTACCACAGTGAGAAAGGAAACATCAGATGGCTGTGAATGTGGAAAGGGCAGAGAACAGGTAGCAAGCAACTCAAAAAAGGGATCCGCAGGAAAGAAAGAGCTGGTAAAAAACAGAAGTAGGGAGGGGGGAGGCTGTAGGGGCCCAAGATGTCTTCCCCTGGGGACTATAATAAAGATTTCAAACTTTAAAAAAATTCTTAAACCACAGAGATCCTTTCTAGTAAAATTTGACATGAAACCTAAATATATAAAGTAGATAAAAAAGTATTTTATTATATAAATGTATTTTGTAAGCTCAAATTTAAATATTTACTTAATATAAAGTCAAACAATGAGTACAATGATGCTCTCCTGAAAAACATAAACTTGAAATAGGAGTATAGAGGGCTATTTCAGAAAAATGTCAAAATACATAGAGACAGCAAGAAAAGCTTTATACCAAGGTCTGCCCCAAGGAGAACAAACACAGTAGTAAAAGTGAGTGCAATAGTAATCTCCAGCATGTAAAATTTTGTATATGACATGTTTTTCCCCCCTTTCAGTCTATCTTAATTGCTTTAAAAGCTGGATTAAAAAATAAAATGTGAGCCCAATGTTTTCCACCTCCCCCATCTCCTCCCATGGTTCCTGCCCTATATTTTTGTATTCCAAAAAACAACAGCCCTCGACACCAGCCACAGGGCTACCTCTTCTCCCATACCAAGGACTGCCACTCTTCCTATTCAGCCCCAAAACCTTTTGGAGCCTTTAGGATGACATGATACAGATGGACACCAAGCTGTGCTTCAGATCACCCTCTGCTGGCCTGCATAGCTAGATATATTGGTTTTCTGTTGACTGGCCCTTAATTATTATCATTATTAAAAACAATAACAAATCCTGGAATGGAAAAAATAGCTATACAGGACTTTACTGGGACAAGTGATGAAATCAGAAATGAACTAAAGGGCCGGCCCGTGGCTCACTCGGTAGAGTGCGGTGCTGATAACACCAAGGCCGCGGGTTCGGATCCCATATAGGGATGGCCGGTTTGCTCACTGGCTGAGCGTGGTGCTGACAACACCAAGCCAAGGGTTGAGATCCCCTTACCGGTCATCTTTTAGAAAAAAAAAAAAAAAAGAAATGAACTAAAGATTAGAAAAAAATGTTTCAATATTAAATTCTCTGATTTTCATCACTGTATTGTGACTATTGGTACTATTTTCTGTAAGTTTGAAATTTTATAAAAATAAAACATTAAAAAATTATAACATATTGCTAACATTTACTGATGTTTGCTTCTTATAGGTTTATAGGCATTATCTCATTTAATCCTTTTACAACCCTATAAAATAGGTACTATTATTTTCACCACTTCATAGCTATAGAGGTTATTGAAGCTCTCCCTGGTCACACAGCTGAGTGGAGGTGAGATTTGATCCCACGTCTGTTCCACTCAGAACCAAGGCTCTTAAATGTTGCCTGGATTGCCATCCTTTTTAAGATAATCTTTCCCTCTCAACCTTATCAGAGAAGCCACCATTTGGGTTCTAAGCACTGTTACTCATTAAAACATCACAGAACTTATTCTCTTTCCAGGCCTGAGGGGGATCTGAGGTTCATCACTGAAGCATGTGCTAGAAATGAGAGGCCATCAGCACTAACATCAAAAACCCAGAAACCATCCTATAACTTTTATTTTACTTTTTAAAAACCAAATCTTGAAATACAGTTAGTTTAGTAGCACTTAGTATGTCAAATTTTATTGACAGTTCACAAGGTAAAGATTTTCAGCTATATTTACCATACACAAAACTCATGCGAAAAGGTTGTCTTCCCCTAGAAAGACTGAAAGCTCAGCACCAAGGGTCTATGCTGTAATAACAGAAGTTCAAGAGACCTTCCTGCATTCCAGCCAGAGGGCCAAGTGCCAAGCCTGGGAATAGCCCCACTGTGTGGATGGAATGGGACGCTAGAATAGCTGTTAGGAAAATAGAAAATTCTTCTTAAAGCAATACAAGGGGAATGTGCTCTCTCCCTTGAAATATACACTAGCTACTGACCAAGTTTCCTGGGGGAACTTTGTCCATCCTTATCTGCCCTCACATGGCTGTGAGACCATAATGTAACATTTATGGTTAACTGCACTAAGTTAGTTTTTCTAGGACTGACAGAGTTATGTAGGCAGGATCCTAATACCTACCACATAAAACTGTAAAGGATCCACTTTCAGTAGTAATCAGCAAATAAGAACAAAGTAGAAAAGAGAAAAAATAATTTAGCTATAAAAAGTTCCTAATTTGGGGGAGTAATAAAACCTCATTAGTGTTGGACCCATTATTACTTCTGAATTTCCAGACACTCAGATATGTGTTTCCTACTTGGCATGGAGTTAAAATAATGACAACTATATGGACTACTGCATGTATAATACATATTACACAAAATGGTCATAATGAGAATATAATTTTTAACAACTTATTTCATTTACTTATTAGAAGTTTTCTATGCTTAGTTTATAACAGGATAGTCTATTTTATAGACTTAGTTTATAACAGGATAGTCACTTTTAAGAGTGGGCAAACATTACAGAATTTATTTGGTAACTACATTATACTGTTCATTTATACTGAGCTTGAATAAACTGTGAATGCAAGCAATCTTTTTACTCACTCAAATACCTGTCCACCCTAGTGTCTCTCATATTTAAGTTATGTAACTAATGTTTTTCCGGCTGTTCACCTCTGTTCATGTTTTTTGGTTTGGCCTTTTGATTGACCTTGTTAATGAATCTTTAATCTTTCATCAACATATTGCCCCTTCCTCTCAGCTTGCTGCCTACAAGTTTGATATGCATACCTTCTCTTTGTTCAAAGGGGTGAATAAACACTCAATGGACGAGAGGCAGTTTCAGAGCTCTGGGAAAGACCAAACTTCCCATAAATGAATATCAATTAGTTAATAATAACAATACCAGTATTAATAGTTTAAATATAGATAATTAGTACATACTAAACATTACTGTGTGCCAGTCACTTTAAAGCAATAGCCTGTTGATTCCTCACAATAATTTTGAGACAAGTACTATTATGTAATTTTTCAAATGAAAAAAGTGAGGCATTGAAAAGTTTGCCCACGATCAAAAAAGCTGTTAAGTGGGGCACTGAATCTGACTGCAAGTGGAAGCCCTTGCTCTTAACTACTAGGATGCACTGCCTCTCAATTTGGAAGCAAATAAGTAATAAAATGGTACTTCATCCCAGCAGTTTGAAACAACAGTTCAGACTCTTGCTTTAAAAGTTAGTTATTAGCTAAATAAATGTAAACTGTTTTTCTTTTCTTTTTTAAAGGGGTTGTACTATATTTGACACCCAAGAGGCACAGCTCCTTAGTGAAACCGTTAGGCAGTTCTGTTTGTGGAAAGGAATCAGGGAAGGCAGGGCTGCCCCTGGCAGGTGGCTGGAACCAAGTGGGATGGGTGCAGGTACCTGAATGCGCTGAGGTGAGGCTACCGCAGAGTCGGTGGAGATTATCTGGATGCGTGGGGAGGGGCTGGTCATCCCTGGAGATTCCGGCCGAGAAGTCTGTGTACGTGGTACCTGTAGGGGAGAAGTGGGTTGAATCACAAGGGGGTCAGAAAGATACCCAGTGATGGCCTGAGGACCATGCCTCTTGCTTTCACTGTGGCCTAGAGAGATAAACCTGTCAATTTCTGAGGTACTGACCCAGGAATAAACAAAGGAATCAATATTTTGATATTGCCACAGAATGGCCCCTGCAAAATACAATCTTAAAATAGCTAATATGTTGAAAATGCAAGGAAAAACCAAAGGAGTTTTCAGTTCTGCTCTGTACAACTTCAGTAAAGTACAAAGCTATCAAAATAACTTTTAGAGATGATTTTTGAATTTTTTCACTATCTCCAAAGCCAGCTAAGATGACAGTTACCAGAAGTAAGGCTCTCACAACACTGCAGGAGATGGCAAACAATATCAGCATTACAGTGAAAACTACTGGGATCAGTACTTGTCAAAGGATCCTGACAATCTCCTATCCCCAATGGGATGGAGTTGGGAAAAGCCCATCAGTAACATAAAGGTCCGGAATTTAGTTAATAACCACCAAACACAAATTTCAGGGTGCTGAGTGGTCAGATATTATTTTTTCTTGATTAAAAGCATATAATGAACCCATATTCATAAACTCTTCCAAAAAATACAAGAAAACATTTCCTAGCTCATTCTATAAGACCAATATTACCTAATACCCAAACCAGACAAAGACATCACAAGAAAACTGCAGACCACTACCTTTCATGAATACAGATGTAAAAAATCCTCAACAAGTTCATTTTGGGCCGGCCTGTGGCTCACTCGGGAGAGTGCAGTGCTGGTAACACCAAGGCCACGGGTTCGGATCCGGATGGCCGGTTAGCTCACTGGCTGAGCGTGGTGCTGACAACACCAAGTCAAGGGTTAAGATCCCCTTACCGGTCATCTTAAAAAAAAAAAAAAAAAAAAAAAAAAATTCCTCAACAAAACAGCAGCAAATCGAATCAAGCAGCATATAAAGGATTATACACCATGACTATGGACTATTTATCCCAAGAATGCAAAGCTGGTTCGACATATGAAAATCAAACAGTTTAATACACCATATTAAAAGAATAAGGAACAAAAACCACACGATCACTGATAAAACTACTCCTCATGATGGAAACAATCAACAAAGTAGGAATAGAAGGAAAGTTCTCAACCTGATAAAGGGTATCTACAAAACACCCACAGCAAACTTAATGGTAAAAGAATGAAACCTTTCCCTCTAAGATCAGGAATAAGACAAGGATGTTCATTTTCATCACTTCTACTCAACATGTACTGGAGGTTCTAGCCAGGGCAATTAGGCAAGGAAAAGAAACAAAAGCACCCAGATTGGAAGAAAAGTAAAACTATGTCTATTTGCAGATAATATGATCTTATATACATAAAATCCTACGGAATCCACAAAAAAACTCTTAGAGATAGAAAATGAGTTCCAAGGTTGCAGGATACACGATAAATGATAACCAAAAGAGTCTGCTCTGAACAGGCCAGCTAAATTATATTGCTTTGGGAAATCTGGGATAAGTCAGTAATCACATCCACCTGTCCTGGAAAATGTTACCATAAGACCATTTTACTTAAAAGCAGCCATAATGGCACCAGAAAGCCATAAAATAACCTAGAATACTTCTTACCACGCTTACTCTACATGCCTGCATGTAGAGTATAACCTAGAAACAATCCCAAATCTACATATTATGTACTACCAATAGAAAACTTGATGAAGGAATAAGGTGGAGCTGTGTGTTTCTCTCTCTCTCTCTCTCTCTCTCTCTCTCCTTTGACCCTTCTCCCATTTTGTGATTATAAAATGTTAAGCTCTGGGCCGGCCCGTGGCTCACTCGGGAGAGTGCGGTGCTGATAACACCAAGGCCCTGGGTTCGGATCCCATAATAGGGATGGCCGGTTTGCTCACTGGCTGAGCGTGGTGCTGACAACACCAAGTCAAGGGTTAAGATCCCCTTACCGGTCTTAAAAAAAAAAAAAATGTTAAGCTCTGCTGGTCTTCTTCAAAACATTTTCAGAGCTACCTGATCTATGTGTCTCCCCAGTTGCAATCGTCATATTGGCTCAATACATCCTTGCTATACGTATTTGGCCTCAGTTTCTTTTTAGGTCAACATTCTGGCGACCATGAAGGGACTCCAGAGAAACTCCCCTGACTGCCCAATATTTCCTTTTTCCTCTTGAGTTTGGGCTTTCAGCAGTACCAGCAAAAAGAGGGGCCCACTGTGCCCTCCAACTTCAGGGGCTTTGTTGGTGAGGAAGGGGTGAATTTCCAGAATCCAGATCTCCTTCTTTTTGATTGCGATCAGAGGATCTATTGAGCTTTTTATTTTTCCCCAACCCTCTCTTTCCCTTTGAGAATGAAGGTTTCCATCTCTATCCATGGGAGTTTCAGAAAAAGGTACTGCTAATTTCTGCTCCTCCGCATGGTGGAAGATTCTAGGTTACAGTTTGGCAGCTGACTTGTTTTGGGGTAGGAGGTCAGGGAAAAGGGGAATTCTGTCATTCCAATTTCTGCCACAAGGTGAGTGATTGACAGATATGGTCCTGGTATATTTCAATTTTTTGGCCTGGGGAAAATTACATAGCATGCTTTGAAATAACAGCTGTTTCTTGTGGGGCTATGTTTTTTATTGGGACATAGTTGATTGTACATATCGTGGGGTACAGCATTGAATATCAATACCTGTGTGCAATATGTGATGTTCAAATCAGGATAATTAGTTATGGTGCTTTATTTAACAAATATTTAAAAACAGATCCATATATAACTCAGTGACCTCAAAATTACAATGGCCAGGGCCGGCCCGTGGCTCACTTGGGAGAGTGCAGTGCTGATAACACCAAGGCCCGGGGTTCGGATCCCATATAGGGATGGCTGGTTCGCTCACT